ATAATATTTTTTATAGGCATAAGGCCCATTATAATGGCATAATGCTCATGTGAAAACCGTTTAGATCTATGAGACTGGAAGAAACAGAATAAAAGCGAAAGTGGTAGTGCCTCTGTTTTTGACATAAGAAAGATTGAATTCTTTGTTTTCTGTTGCAAACATAGAAACTGCATAAAATAGAAGATCAATTGGACCTAAGGAAGCCTAGAAGGTGGCTCGACTTAGACACCTTGTGTTGTGCCTCGTAAATTAAATAGAGAAATAAAGTAGACAAAAGATTAGCAAAAAAAAAAATTAATTAAAGATTAAAAGTAGAAAGATGTCACCGAAAGTATAAAGAATTTGAGTTAAGATGTAAATCACTTACTTTCTACAAAACGTTTTATACCACCACTGCAGCAATTTTTTATAATCACGTTACTCTCAAAACATAACAGCTTAACTTTTTCTCATTGTATCTTTACAAGTACTACTTTCTTCTAAAAAAACGTCTACCCCACCACCTATTCTTTGTTCAAAGAGAGTTTGAATACTGTGTTTTTGAAATAAAAGAGCACGTTATGAAAATTGTATCAACTTTTTGGTAGAAATAGAGGCTGCCTATTTATCAGTTTTCACAATGTAACCGAAAAATAAAGTGTGAAACTGTTACAAATTTAAAATAAAACTTGCCTGTTACAAGTTTGAAACTCACAAGTAATTCATGAACCTTGCCGGTTACAAAGACAATAAATATTGTATACAAAATAATGTAAAACAGCAAGTTACAACATAATGTTAAAATAATGTTGCCGATTACAATATTTGAATTTGATTTTTTCTTTAAGAAAGAAACGCACATATCCATTCTTAAACCAGGAAAGAATGGATTTGTAATCCACACAAAGTTACTGCACAAATTTAATTTTTGAAAAACAATGAATTTGTAACCGACTAGGCATAAACAGTTTGCAATTTTTAATTAAAATCTGTAACACCTTGTAATAGTTTTAGGCACAAAGTTGGAGGGAGGAAGTTAAAGACATGGGAAGAGCTAATTAGGAAGGAGATTATTATTAGTTTGATGTACCAAACAAAAAATTAGTTGAAAGAGAATTGATTTATGTTTTTAGACTTTATTATTATTATTATTATTATATTTTAAATTATGCAACCAAAAGTAATCTTTTTTTATTTTTTAATCAACTCTATTTACATGTAATATGACTTATACTTATATGCTCTTATTTTAAAAAAAATTATCAATTAACCTAATTAAGTTGTTGGCAAAGAATTCTAACATTACCAAAAAGAAATTTAAACAGTCAAAAATAACATTTATTAAAAAGCAGAGTATAAGAGATATCCTAAACCTATAAACATCCCAACTTGAAAGGCATAAATTTACAAGAGCCGAAGAGTCCTTCCTGATATATTAATACAAGAGCACCTTCAAGTTGTTAAAAATTTCAACCTACACTCTATCAACACAGAACAAGAAACAAAAACTCTGGTTCTGTGAGATCTAACATTACCAAAATAAAGTCGGCTGCTAATCAACAATGTGAGATCTAACGTATGTAACTTTCTTTCTCCATGATTCCTTTTCCCTCCTTTCACTGGAAAATTAGATTGCTTTGCAGTTATTTTTTTTATTGCCATAAAATTGCATTGTAGATGTTTAATACAACATTAAAAAAAAAAAAAAAAAGTTACTAGTACCAATTATATTAATTAGCACTTTGATTCAATCATAATTTTTTTAGAAAAACTAGAATTTATGAAAGTCATTACCACAGCTGCAACTGCAAAGGGTAAAGATCTGGGCTGTTTGGTTTTGGAAAAGTTTAAAAGGCACTGAAGACAAAAAAAATGGGACGCCCACAACCACAAGTCCACAACCACAAGTCCACAGCCACAATCCCACTCCCACCTAACCATTTTTCACGGACTGACCCACGTGGAGACGGTAAGAATCAGGCTCCTAAGGTCGGTGGCTTGGTGGAGGGAGCACTCACCGCCACTCACTCATTCTATAAAGGTTGGAGGGCTGTTTACACCATGTTAATTTTTTTAAATTGGTGTCAAATTAAAAGAAAAAAAGTGTTAAAAATAATTTAGTGCACTTCATTGACTATAAAACGTAAAGGAGGAGTGACCCACATTATAGGGATGGCAATTCTCACGTTCTCCGCCATAGAGATGGGGCATGGAGGAATATTCCTCTTCGCAGGGTAAGGACAGGGACCATTTTCTCTTCGCAAAATTTCGTAAGAAATTTTCTCCGTCCCACGGGACCCATGGGGATACTGATCCCCAAAAAAATTTTTTTTTATTTTAAAATTAATTTATTCTTTAAACTCAAACCCAAACCCAAACCCAAATCCAATTACAATTAAACTTAACTCATTATTATCCAACCCAACTCATTCCCTTACATTTAACCCTAACCCTAATTTATTTTAATTCTCATCACTCACAGTCTCACTCTTAATCTCTTTGTTTGCGACTCACCATCTCTCACCTTCATCTCACCTTCTCAGTTTCTTATGCTATTGCTGCTGTCGAAGCTTGTTGTTGAATCAATCTCCTCTGTTGCTGCTGAAGCCATCTACTCTACTATTGTTGAATCCATATGCTCTACTGCTACTGAAGCCATCTACTTTGCTGTTATCGGATCCATTTGCTCTGCTACTACTGTCAAAGATATCTACTTTGTTGCTGTTGTTGTCGAAGCTTGCTACCGAATCCATCTCCTCTGCTACTGTCGAAGCCATCTGCTCTGCTGCTGTTGGATGCATTTGCTCTGTTGTTGCCGGATCCATCTGCTTTGCTGCTACTACTGTTGGAGCCATTTACTGCTGCTGCTACTGCTAGAGCCATTTGTTACCGTTGCTGCTGCCAAAGTCATCTGATATTAATTGGTGGGGAATGGGAATCCTCGCGAGTATCCCCATTCCCTGTAAGAAACGGGGACGGGGGGTAAAATCTGCTCCCCGTAAAAAATCCTCGCGGGGATCAACGTCCTCATGATTCGCGAGGATGGGGATGAGAAGGGACTCTTCGACCCAGCAGGGCCCGTTGACATCCCTACACATTAATTATGGAATCCACAAAGTACATTTCTTTTAAGAATGGAAATATTGGCATATAATCTAACTCATGATTATCTCATTTATTTTAAGAACACATACATTCACATATAATATAATTCATAATTACTTTTACATTATATTTAAATTAAAATAAATTGAAAAAAATGAAAAATAGAAAAAAA